GAAATTCGAACTGGATTTGTTGCTGGAAACATGGAATCCAGTTTGCGGACAGTGGTCTGCAAACTGGATTTCAGGCTTCCAGAGAGAAGTCCAGTTAGATTTTTCTGTTCCATAATCCAGTTTATACTGTTTTTGTCGCTAGGACGGTGTGTTATGCACTTTTTGATGTGATTTTTGTTTACGCAAGTTGAAATGTGTAAATAAAACGAATTCTATTTTTGTTCGCTATCATCTGTTTCGTATATATGTACCCCAGACACAATTATCATGAACAAGCCATATAAAGTTATTGTTTTTTGCCTAGCATTTTGGACTAGCTGCCATTAAAACTACTGTAACGGCGGAAAGTGCTCAGTTTGTAAATTGTGATACCGGCGGGTATGCTTTTGAAGTAAAATGTGAAAAAGCACCGAAGTAAATTAAGCTGCATATGTACCGGCTCCCAGAGACGTCAGTGCAACGTCTGCCCTAATCTGAAGCAATTAATTTGCACATTGTGGAAGGACACTGGCTGACGGTACTGAGGGTGTAGGAGGACATTGTGTAACATTTTTAACCTGCATCTGACTACATATGTAGCGGCTTGAGAGTGGTGCAGGTTTGGTTTTTGTAGTGAACTTCTGGTGGAGAAGCGTCGAACTTGTCACAATAAAAATATAAATGAAACAGACAAAATTACCTCGTCGCCGAGTTGTCGTGATCAAGGATGATCATTAAAAAGGTGGAAAGGAGGTGAAGGAGGATATGGGGGCCTGTAAAGCTAATAAGGGCAGAGCCTACGAAGGCCTGCAAGGAATAGACGATGGCTTACATTGAGCCACGCTTGAGATGAAGGAATGAAGGACCAAGCGGACACACCCTGCAAAAAAAGACGTCCACCCAGGTCCGAGGTAGAACAAGGCTGATCTTTATAATGCAGTGTGTGGTACATGCACTGCTCGTGCTCACAGATAGAACTGGTACGCGTTGTACGCTAAAAGTGTGCCAGAACAATACAAATACAACAATATGGTTTTCGGTTGGTAGAAATCCCGTTTGCATCCGGTTTTGTTTGCGGTTCAAATGAATCCGCGTCGCATCCAATGTAATTTCCGATTAACAAAAAATCCGGTTCGGTTTCCCGTTTAAAAAATCCGGATTCCTTATGGTTTAATATTCCTGTTAAAGATTCCGGTATCTTTTCGGTTTAACTTTGAACCGGATTTTCTGGCACGGACGTGTTGCCACATCTCAAAGGCAGACCATCCTTACGCTGTATATACAGAGCCGTCGATTTGTTTTTTATATATGTTTTTAGAACGCCGTGCCCGCTCAAATGCTTTAACTAATATGTTCATACGTTCCGACATCTGCGGATATGGCGCAATCCTCATTCCCATACAATATTAAAAAAAGGAGCCTAAGGGAGTGGGAATGGGCAATTCTAGTTTTGTTCTTTACCAAATTGTTAAGGGAAATACCCTATAATCATTTGACTACGTAATGAAGGAAGAGATGAATAGTCTGATCAGGTCAAATTCATAGTAAAATACAGCTTGATGTTGTAGCTAATTTGAGAAATGATATAGTTTGCTTTAAAATGTTTCGTTTTTTTCTGAAATTAGGCGCTACCAGCGAGAGATCTTGGGTGTCAGTAATCAGTTTGTGTTGAATGTTTACCTCACTCACAAATAATGCTCTAGAAATAAAATAAGCACTTAACACTTCACCTTTTAATTGTTAAAATATACTTTCGGAAACGCGAAGTTCTAACTTCAGCATATTACAAAATGGCAGATAAGTGGCATGTATATTTTGCGATATTGTAATTTTTTTTAACTTATAGTTATTCGCTTAATTTTAACGCATTCAAAACACATTATGAGCAAAACAAATATGAAAAAAAAAATCACGGAGAGTGGTTGTTGGTTTTGTCACAATAGACTTGCGACCTCGTAATCAAGTACGTGCGAAGCAGGTGTTTTGTCTCGATTATGTGCGTTTGAACCTGTTTTTTTTTTTTTTTCAGGGTCTTTCAGGTTACAATGTTCCAAGGCCTGAAAAACGCTTGTCTACGCTGCGTGTTGAACCAATGCAGTATTGTGCACAGTTGATTTTCGAGCAATCAAGATAATTTGCGATGTGCCAAACTTGATAATTAAAACATACATATTAGCAAAATTTTAAGTATTTATTTCCGTGCAAGCCATTCAACACATAAGCTATTGAGGGTATTGTGAAACAATCAAACGGTTATTTTTTTATAAAGGTAGCCCTTGCGTTTTTTATGCTTCCATGAAATAAAAAAAGGAGCTGTCAAATCTAGACACACAAACATACTTGACAGGGGACATTTATGTGGGGAGAAAATTACTACAGGATAGCGAAGTGTGATGTTAGTTCGCGTTGCCACGTGGGATTCGTTCATATCGCGCGCGCTTTTTTTAAACTTGTGTATTGGCTTAACGTGCACTAGCTTTTTTAAAGCCCTCGCACAAATTAGCTAAAACGGCCGGTATATACCAACATATTTAAATGTCGTTTACTAATACCTTTCGTTGTGTTTTTTATGATAATGCAAGAATTACTGTACTGACTTGAACTCCTAAGCAAGCGATATACTCTTAATAGGAGCAGCATTCTATGGAATTCAATAATCCAACACACACTGAGGCAGAAGGTCAGTGTTGATTACTTTTCTCGAGAAACCTTCAAGAGAAAGCTCGTGGTGTCAGCATATTTGCACATGACTTCACAAGGGAATATTCGTTAAAATAACACTTTCATAGAAGAGATGTTGGTATTTATAAAATTATAAGTTCGGCTAAAATATGCTCACATGAATAGTAACTATATTACTGATACATTCACTCACATACAGAACGCAGTGATGTTGCCATAATTATGTACTAGTTCAAAATTATGATTTGGTTTGCCCAGAATGTGGGAACGTTTTGTAGATTCCCTTCAATTTCCTGCAAGTTTATTTCCAACACAGTGGTGGTGGTCCCATAACTTTTTTGATGCATGTAAAGAAGCGTTTCCAAAGTACGGCGCCCTTTATTCAATCGGAAATCCGTTGGGCCGAAAATAAACTAAAATCTGCATCTACATCTTGAATACACCACCCTCATAATGTTGACAAAGTCGAGGGACCACAGAATGTATCCCGTTCAAAGCACCACATGATACGACGTCAGACAGCTCTCGCGAGCACGCTTTGCCGGGAGCCCAATGATTCCAGAGAAGCTGTACTGCGGAGAAAAGGGGCTATAGTATAAGGCTGAAACAACGCCCGCGCCCTGGGGCGCCTTGTTTACGATTTCTAAGATTTTTATTAATTTATTTTTTGTTTATTTTACATTGTTTCATTTTCTTTTTTATTTTTTTTTGTTTTTATATATTTTTTATTTTAATGCTTTGTTGTTTCCTTGTTATGTTGTTCTTTACGTTTAATTTCTGTTTCTTTTATTTCTTAATCGTTTTTATTTATTTTTTCATCTTTGCATGTAAGCTTAACGTCATGTAACTCTCCTAGCTTGTCGCTCATTCATGACACCCACTCATGACAACGTTTTGATAGAAAGCAACCAACAACGCGCACTCTGTGCTAAAAGGACAGAGCATATGCATTGCTTTACAGCAAATAAATATCCATTCAATTCAATTAAATTTGAAAATAAAGAAACGATTGTCACAATATGTGCAAAATAATTTTCATCTGTTCTTCCATCGTCTTAGTGCTCACTACTAGTGCCGCAAAAGTTTAGGGTCGCTGCTGAGACGCTTGCAAATGCTTTTATTTTCTGTCGTGTTATAATCACAATAAAAGAAAACCAGAGAAAAACGCAGTAGTGATTTTATCAATACTTCATAATCATAATAAAGTACTCGCGAAGAGGATACAGGCTGACCCACAACTTCGATTTACCTTTTTGCAGTATAGATATCATATATTCTGATTATGAGGCATCACATACCTCGTACTCAAAAGTGCATAAAAACCTCTAAATTTATAAATAATATATAAATTGTGGCTCATTTTTTGTGCCAGATGTCCCGTACTTTAAAGCGTAGGTTGTGATTGGGAACAAAAGAAAATTAATTGAACTCACATTATACGATCTTCCTCAATATCGAATGAACAAGGACGTTCGTATCTTAAATCAAGGTTGAACATGGGATGTTTATAGATTATCTACAGAAAAATCTGGCAATGTGGCGCTTTTGCAATCTATATTCAAGCGAAATTCTTGTCAAATCATAAGGCAAACCCTCCCCTCGTTCATAAAACTGTTCCTTGCAACGTTATGAACTATTTCATAAGCACTTCTCCTGGGTTAAAGTAGAATTTTGGGCCAGTTTCATGATCTCGCAGGTAAGCGTTACAAAAAACACAGGGACAATGAAGTAGGCAGACGAGGGTGCCCCTCTCTACCTAGTTCATTGTCCCTGTGTTATTTGGAAGTTACCTACGTTTTCATGGGGCCCTGTTAAAGGATCGTTTAGCAATAGGTATGTTGGAACTTTCTTTGATACTTCCGTAAGAGCACTGATCACCTGGTATACCATTTATAGTACACTAAAATACCTTCCTAATTTTTCAACATTCTAATTCTTGCATCTCCGAAGTGTCCTAACATGCGCCATAAGCCATCTCAGAAGTTCAGCTCAAACGAAGCGATCTGAAGTCCCATGGGGTGCAACACACGGCTAATAATGTAAACATGAAAAGGTTAATTAAAATGGCCTTAAAAGACAAGCAGGATGCACGCCTTAGGTTGTTTAATAAATGATGCTACCTCAGACAAAAGTATGTTTCACCTTTCCATGTGCGGGTGCTTTTAACGTGCTTCTGGTTTCTTAGGTGTCCAGTGTGTCTTAGCCATCGTCATCATTTTCCTTTTTTTCTTCGCTATCCTCCAATTACTTACTCTCTATATCTCCCCCTCTTCCTCATTTTACTTCTCCTCTTCCTCTTTATATTCATCTTTATCGTCTTCCTTCTTATCTTCAACTTCCTACTCTTGCTTGTTATCTTCATCCGTGTCCCCTGTCTTCTCGTTATTTTGGTCCTCTTTCTTATTTTCCTCGCGCTCATCCTTACCCTTCGCTTCGTTTGTGTTTTCGCCCTTCGCCTCCCCATCTTTCTCCTCTTCTTTTTTCTTTCCAGCGTCACCTGCTTCCTCGTTCTCTTTTTTCTTCTCTCCACCGTCATCTGCTTTCTTCTCTTCTTCTTTCTTCTCTCCATTGCCAGCTGTTTCCTTTTCTTCTTTCTTCTCTTCACCGTCACCTGCTTCCTTATTCTCGGTCTTTTTCTCCCCGCCATCTCCACCACCACCCGGAGCATTCAACGTCTGATTAAATATAGGACTAGATGGATGATGGCAGTCGTGGTTCATGCACTTGCTTTCCAGTGGTCCAAAGTTGAACTACAAAACAAGTAACGGTAACATACATGTTTTTGTTTGAGAATTTATCATTTAGTGCTTTTAAAGCGCAGCTCTTAGGCGCCCGTTTCGGACTTGAGCGTTTCGGGAGGGCCTCGGTTTCCTTCGAGACGATCTCGGGAGGGTCTCGGGTTCCTTCGGGAGGACCTCGGGAGAACCTCGGGAGAACCTCGGGTTCCCTCGGGAGGACTTTGGGCTCCTTCGGTGACCTCGGGGAGGGGCGTCACGTGATCGCCCCCCCTCCCCGAGGTAACGTGACCCCTCCCCCCAGGTCACGTGACCCCCCCCGAGGTCACGTGACCCCTCCCCCCCCAAAACACGGGAACCTCAGTACCCTTCCCTCCTCCTCCTCAAGAGCTGCGCTCTAATTCGGCGTTACAGGAAGTTGTAAACGGCTTTCATTTTTAATTTATTTCTGGCGGAATGTTTGAAGCTAAAACCGAGTAAAACAGTTCTACCTCAGATTATGTTATATAAAAAGAGTTCGTCCGTACATGCAGGCGACCTAAATCTCTTGAGTTATGCAAGGTGAAATTGAAATCTATACTTTAAGATTTTTTGAAAAATAAGCTACAGACACTATGCAAATACTCCTAATCATCGCGTCGGGCGACTGAGCACGAGTGCGATGACGTAATTACACGACTAATGACATACAATCCTATATATCAACTTGGAAACTTGTCTTAGCTTCAAAATTTAGACGGCTATCTCGAGTCAGTTGTTAAATTAGGCCATAGGAAGTGTGTGACTTAAATACGTTTTTGTTGGTCATATCTTTTTTTTTTCAATGTTTATAAACGATGTAATGTCGTGTGCTGAAAATTCTGAGTTGCTCTCTTCTGTCGGAGATATTAAGTTGCTTAAAATAATTCAGCAAAAAAAAAAAGTATGCAACATATTCTACTGCGATATGCCACGAATTATTCTGTGGTGCAAACAAAAGCAGTTACTGCTGAAACCTACAAGAACAAAAGTGATTTCTTTGTGACAACGTTACACTGTTTTAAAAACACATGTAATCTTGGTGGAATGCCAGTGCAGACCGCATGAAAGACCCTGGTGTGTAGAATACGTAATTTTCAAACTGAAACACATATTGATTGCATTTTACGAAATTATAAATCTATTTTACATGAAGCGGAAAAGTCAGGAATTAGGTCCAAGTATTGGCCTCTTCTCAACAATGCTCGGACGTTTGCTGTTTAAAAAATAGCAACAACCTTACAGTGTCTATTGTTGAACTGGTAAATATTGCGCCTCAGATATCGCAAACTTTTCACGGGAAATTGTGCATTGCAAAATATATCTGCTGATATTGTTTTTTTATTATAATATTTCTAATTTATAGTTAAATATTTGAAGTTGCATCTATTTATTTTCTTCGCTCCCTCATAGCGAAAGTAGTCTATCTAATGCGTCCTGAAATGCGATAAGTGTTTTTGTTTTAAGTATCATGTTTTAAATTGTTATACAGCTGGTAATTAAGATTAAAAACTTTGAATTTGGTTCATTTAACTAGCATACATAAAATAATGAGAGAGTATGCTGATCAAAACTAAAATGCAAAAATTCTGGTATGGAATTCAGTATAGTGACAACTAAAACTTGTAGTTTCTAGAGGCAAAAAAAAAAAATTAAGACGACTACATTAGTTTGCATCAATAAATGCATGGATGAATGCATCACTGTTTCTGAACTCCTCTGCCATATACATGTGAATGTTCATAGAGGTTTCTTTGAAGTTTTGAATCCTCTTCCAAAAGAAAACTGGCGGGATCGTGTTTCTTTTGCCGTAAATTAGAAACGTTGCAGCGTGAGTTCAAACACTAGTAGTGTTCGCGGTAATATATTTTATTACATATATAGGCCTACGATGCAATGTTGTAGCCAGAACCAATACTTGAAAAAAAGAAACGGCTAAGCAAAATCAAAAGCGCGACTGGGGTTGGAAGCTGTGGTGGAGCCAAGATTTGCAGCTTCCAAAATTAGCCTGGGTCGTATAGGTGAAATTCATTGGCTACCAATAAGTGTTTTGTTTAAAGGGTCGTGACATTCAGTTGTTCAGATCAAAAAGCGTTGATAATTTAAGTGCAAGATTGACTACAAGCAACATGATGAATCGAGAAAGAATTATCTATGTTATAGAGCCATCCATTAAATTGCAAAGAAACTTACCAAGCACGGCGTACCGTCTGGATAGAACTTTTCTTCCCAGTAGTTATTATCATTTTTGTCAGGGTAGCAAAAGTAATTGCAGGTTTTAACTGGTGTAGCCTAGAAAAAAAAGAAGTAAAAATAAAGATCGAAAGTATGTAGGGAACAGCCGTATATCTATACCGGCACTGCCCGACACTACAAACGGCATCACGACATCGCAAACTTGGCACATTTTTTTATAAATAACTTTTAGACGCCAACCTTTGCCCCTAACTTGGCGTTCATAAAGATACAGCAGGCTAATAGGTTTTTTTTTACATTATTGGTTTAGAAAATAACCACAAGGGGCTTTAAACAGCTCGTTCGAAACAAACTTGATGCACTCCGTGCAGAGATCAGGTGGGTTAACTGTTTTTTTTTATTTCTTGTAAAAAAGCAATTAAAAATATTTGGGGTACATCCTTCAACAATGAAAGATCCATTCTTTCAGTATTACAAAATATTAAACATAATATCAGTGTATATCTCATGTGATTCTTCTCGGTAAGAACTACATGAAAGTACGCTAATCACAATGCCGGAAATGTGTTACAACCACGCGGCCGGGCTTTCAAATCGTTGACGAATGCTTTCAATACGGGTGTATCAAACAGTTAATCTAATGAAAAAGTTTGTAATATATTAGAAATATATCCTCTAAGATAACATGATGATTTTGACTGCTTGTAACAACAATCCCTGACAGGAAAGTCGCAAGAGGAGTTTCATGTCATTTCCATATGTTCTTAGTAATTTTTAAAGGGAGTATCAATATACCTACTGGCCATTTATTAAATATAAAAAATGGGGAAGTTGTCTATTAAAGACCCCCCCCCCCCTTTCTCCTTCCAATATTGTAACGAATGACAAGTGATGAGGCGATAATAACTGAAGAAACTAAACGTTTAACCGGGCAAAATTGTGCCCAAAAATAAAAAGGGAACAGAAGAAAGTAGAGCGTCGCGGGCGTCGAAGTCGGCCTGACAGCCGAGTCGAACGCTGGGGCGAAAACTGACTGTGGTTCGCAAGGCCCTTATGTACATGCTTGGGCTTATGGAATAATCGGCGTAGAAAGTTCGACGCGTAGAACATTCTAACCTCGAATCAGCCAAGACGGTTCTCGAATTTACCAGAATACAAGTCTGCAGGAATAAACAAAAAGATGCGCCGCTCCCAGGAATCGAACCCTGGCTTTTCGCGTGGGAGCCAGGTACGATAAAAGTTAGGCCAAGCGCGCGCTGCCTGCTTGGCCAGCTGCGCGCGCTGCAATACTATTGCTTCTTGACCACCTTTATTCCTAGTTCTAAGAATGCTGATCCAGAATTACTGTCTGTCAAATATTTAAAAACAAAAAAAACGAAAATGGAATCTTTAATTTAGCACATGTAATATAATGAATTCAATTATTGCAATCTTATTCTGCGTTTAACTAGTACAAATCATTATGGCTGCCCTCGCATCTGCCCTAAAAAAACTGTGAACACTTAAGAGAAACGCGCTACCTGGTAAACTGCTTCTCGTCGTGATCTTGCAAATAGATTATTTGTGCAACTCTACTACAACTAAATCAATGTCTGACTATATGACCGCATGCAAACCACTGTAATAATGGCGGTATATTCGGACCCTGAAGATAATAAATAAATAAAACGGGGCAACATGTGTGTGGGTTCTTGTTCGCAAGTAATTTGGGTAACGCACCATTTTTTGACGGTGCGTGTGGTCTGTTCTCTAGACTGTCTTTGAAAAAAATACAATTACACCCCCCCCCCCCCCGCACACACACACAAAGTTACAAGTGTTTTTGTTTTGCTTACAATATTGCGTGTTTTTGGGTGATAATATTTTCGGTATTCTTATCCGTCACTGTTTTTAAGCAAAAAGGTACCGCTAAACGCAATATTTCTTTTCTTATTAAAAATGTTAGCTTTTTTTACGCTTGAACTTATTTTACATAGCAAAAAGTATTGTTTGTCTGCACCCCAAATGAATCAATTTGGCGTAAGTAAGAATCGACTCTTACGCTCTATATTTTCGTGGGAACTGACTCGCTCTAAAAAAGGCAAAACATCTCAAATTAAAGCGATAACTGTTATGGGTCGGCTCTTTCCAATGTCGCACGTTGTCTTTGTAGCATAGTTATTGATGTTTTTGATGTGGTAGTTGGTGTCGCAGAGTATAAGGCGTTTGTCGCGGTATTTCTAACTGTTTAATAACGAGTAAACATTGGAAGTGGATCCTCAACCGCGAAGCTGATCTGCACGTTTTCAAACGCGCAGTGGCTGGGATCGCGCGGTTGGGGCGCGTTTTTGCCAACCGCTTCGGGACCGTTTCCATCCAACCGCTTTCGCGAACCGGCACCCAATCGCGGCGCGACGCTGACTTAAAGTCGATGGCTTTCGAAACAAGATGGCACCCGTCGCTGCTGAGGTGTCCAAGGCACCGTAGTCCTTCATTGAAGCAGAGAAATCAGCGAAGTAACAGAATGTTCGCTTCGGTGACCTGAATCCGAAACGAAAATAATTGACTTGTTATCTTAAGTGGCTTCGCTTCGGTGGTTTTGGTTCAGGCAAGCTAGTTTCTTTATTATTTGGGGTGCTCCGTCGCTGCGCTGCCATGTCCGTCTTTATCTGTAGAACATAGGAACCCGCCTCCGATTGCCCGAAGTGACAGCTTCCATTCCCACTTTGGCAGCCGCGTAAACTACTGTAAGCTTTTGACAGAGCGCATCACGAAAACGTACGCCGATAGAGATAACGTGCGCGTATAATTGCGTAGCAGACACATTACCGCGGAAATGGCGGGACACACCCAAGATAACTGCGCTAGCTCGACCGGTGACGCTTCTACCACCAAACGGAATAAAGAGAACCTACTCAATAAGTAAAGTGTACGTACTAGACAGTGCATCAATAATCCACGCGGCGCTCATTTGAGTTTAATATCAAGCCAACAACAAAACAGCATATTCGATCGAGGTGTCAGTGCCGAGAGGCGAGTCCGCCACCAACCAACTTTCTCTATTTTCTTTTTTGTTATTAGTTCGAATGTACACGGCACGTGTCTTTGATTATTGCTGATTATTCTGGTAAGCATATTTTTATTGTTAAAGTGATTATCGCTTTTTTTACGTGCATTTAGATTTTTCTTTTCATTTTGCTATGGGCGCGGCTCGTATAAAATTTTGTAAATACAGTATTGTTCAAAGTTTTTAGTGGAGGTATGAACCGTATCGCTTTTTTATATGTTGTTCCTTCCTGCCACTTCCCACGGCCGCAGAAATATGTATAAATAAATAAATAAATAGCACCGAACCTAATCCCTGCACCACCAATGCCTCTCACAACTCCGAAAAAAGAAAAAAAAACGAACGACGAGGGGTGAAATTTAGGCCCTCTTATCCAGGTCAGCTATACACCAGCTCATGTTTACAAACAAACCGGAGCGTCCAGAGCGCCCCTAGCGGACGCCACCGGCGCCGCGCATGCGCGATGGGGTGTGGGCAAAAAGCTCGCCGTCGCCCATAAACAAACCATTGAAATGCGATGTTGTCGGCGTCGTTGTGAGTCCCCCTGCCCTTTTTCGCATTCGAATTGTTGGTTCTACGTCTTCCTGGCGATGTCTGACTACTTGAGCAGCGTCAGCTAAATTAATGAGGCTCGTTACACCGCAAAACTTCGCGTGAATAATGTCACATGTGGCGATTCATTCCGCTTGGACGCCGCAGATTGTACGCTAAAGCCTGATTTGCATGATGAGATTTCGCTCGGAATTTTCAGTCGCGACGCCGCTCGGGCAGCAAAAGCTTAAACCGTAGCTGAGATGGTCGACGACGATACTGAAAATCGCAAGCAGAATCGGACCAAGTGAATCAGGCATAACAAGTCCGTGATGGTCACTGGTAACAATTTTCAAAACATCCTTGTATCTACTGTTTACATCGAGCCTGCTTACCAACCTTCAAACTTGAGTCTTTTGAGGGCTGCACTTACTTCTTATTGCGAGTACCAGGCCCACGTTTGGTCTACGGGCCGTAGTCGTCTAAAAGAGCAGACGACAAGCAGAAACGTTTGAAAGAGCAGACGACAGTTTGAACGATCAGGCGGCCGTTTGAACTTCAAGACGCACTGAACGTAGTCCGCAGGTGGTTTGTACAACCTCGCGGTTTTCCTCCGATCATGTTGGAAGAAAACAAATAAATCTGATGACAAGAAGTATCCGTGAATTTAATCCAATGTGCTTCCCGCCCAAGCAACCGTGGTCAGACGGCATCTGGTTTTCCCTTTTCACGGCACATATCCACCTTCTTGGACGAACCGAGCACATGAAAACTGACCTTCAAATCTTTCTCGATTCTTCTGGTACAGCGCCAGTCGCGGCGTTTTGACGAGAAGGCAGGTTATCGTCTAGTTCCTTCCAAAACAACGCAGGAGTACACGTCTCGCATGGGGACTTCTGCCCACAGCCCAAAACCGGCAGTGCGACCGACGCGCCACCACCGCGCCGTGACGTAACAGAGATGAGTTCGTGTATATATGCAGGAAGGTTCCAATGCGAAGAATGGTTCGGGGCATCCTCTTCTGCGTCAGCAAGGCGCGCCTTGCTGGGCTTTGCTCGGGGGCGAAATCGAGGGAATCGTCGCCGTGGTTTCGAGGGTTCATTTTTCTTATTTTTCACTGTCCGAAATTTCGAAGTGTGAGTTAAAGTACTTCTGGCTTTGTAGTGCAAAAGGTGGTAAAAGCAACCTGGAAAAAGTGAGGAAATTTTACTTTGGAATGCAGATTAAACTAGATTTCGGACCGTAAATCAAGGTTGGCAGACGCAAGTCCCTAAAGATCGCGCGTGATTGCCGCGAAACCCTCAACCTCGTCTCGGTGTGTCTAAACGGGGTCGCTTGCGAAACGCATCCACCACCGCTTCGCAAAAGCAGCTCAACCGCCAGTGTCGATGCGCCATAAAAGATAGCCTCCTGTTGCCCTCAGGGATCGAATCTGGGTCCATTGCGTGCAAGCCGGATTAGTGCACCTTTCATAGCCTTTTTAATTAAATCTGCTCGCAATAAAATCAAACATTCTGTTTATCAACATCTGATTCGTGATTATTGAAATATTTTTGAATTGCCGGTCGTTTCAAAAGTCCTAGTCGTTCACGTTCCTTTTCGTTGCCCTTGTCTTTTTCGCGCTATTTAATAAATAAACGGGTATAAGAAAGTAGAATTGCGGTATACGCAGCCCAGCACATGGGTAGAGACTGCCAGGGCAATACAATTAAGGAGATTTATTCTTGAAAATAATTCACAAATATTCAGCAATTATCAGTGATTAGAGGGTGCGAGTTTGTAATCCCAAGCGCTCAATGCTTGAGAGCTGTACCTAATCATGCAAGTCTGCATGTGTACTGAACTGAAATGGGTAAACATGTTAACAGCTCCACAGGAAGATTAATGAGCCTGCATGTTATCGATGGTACAGCTGAAACCACGTTCGTATGCTGCTGTAGGTCGAATGGGCGCGGACAACCACATTTCATGCATTTTTGCTGTTGGTTACATGCCCAGGTGTCTTAGGTTCACCCTGAGCTCTTCTGAAAATCCTGTCTCAGGTGTTAGTCTACTCAAACTGACTATTTCGAACTTCAAAGTTTTTCCAGTATAAACTGATTTTTCCGTCCATGGATCTTGCAGTCAATCGACTGGGTTTCAAATTTAATTGGCGAGCCGGCCTTCAGGTTAGACTATGATGAGCGTGGCGTCACAGTCAAGACTTCTAACTTTAGGGCGGAATAGCTTTGAACAAGCATTCAACCAACTCACCACTTTTTGGGCTTCCGCGTCCCTTTTGTCACAAGATCGATCTTCCTCCTCTGGCTTCGCTGATGGAGCGCAGTTCGCTATCGGCAGTAGAGCTGAAAATATTAAAAAAAAAAACGTTTCATTAGCTGATAAAGCGTCGGCTTGCAATAAAGATACCTAAATAAGGAAGTGGCAGATCCTAAGGCGCTTGTCTTGATCAACCTGAAAACCAGTCTGTAACTCTGGTCACATATGTGTGCATACATGTAATAATGTAGTAAATATTAGGAGTTTTAGGGTAACTCCTCAAAAATGTGACAGATCAGCCATCTCAAAGGCACATAGGAGGAACATTACTCATTGAAAAGTAAATGCACGATAAATCGTGTGCGTCTCTTTTTCCGCAAAATACTAGGGAGGTCAATTACTGCAATCAACGGACCAAGCTTGCTGAATGACGAGGCCGTACGAGCGCAGTTACTGAAAAATCCCGTATGCGTTAATCACACAACAGCCGTCAGTTTTAGAAACTCACTTCATTCCCAGTGTAACGTTGAAGACCTAACTCAAAATACTAAATGCATTTCGTGACTTGCGTTCGAGTCACTCGAGTACATCGCAGTGATTGCTTCGTGAGCGGACATTGATAAACTAGAAATACGGGCGATTTGTCAATCATTCAATATGTTATTTGTTACCTTTAACAAAGGCTGACAAAAGTACGAATTGGTGACTACATGAGATTAAACAAACCCGTTAATAATGCTTGAAAATAGTCATTATAAATTGCCTCTTCGTGATAAAACGTTATAAATATATGTAGTTGTCTTCTGTTCACTCCACGTATTGCGCAACGTTGCGTAAAAGTGTGCGCCTCGAAATCCCTATATGTTGCCATCCAGCTGCTGGATTTAGAAACATCCCCTAGTATAGGTACCGCGGCGTCGTCTGCTATCGAGGCACGTTGCAGACAATTGATTTCCACAACAGATGTAATCGTCTAGACTGCGTTATGCTGAATGCTTTTCTTGTTGAAGAAGTTTGTATTGTTTCACGGTCCTCAAAATCCAAAAATGCTAGAAATATTAGTTTCCACATAAGCGAAAACTAATACGTTTCTGATATGTCCAAGTATACTTCGATGTTATTTTAAATGTATTTCTTATTGTTTAATATATCTAAAATTTTAAGTGCATTAAAAGAACACTAATATTGACCTTCCAAGTTTGTTTTTTAAATTTTTTATTACAATGTATTTTAAGTAATACGACGAAAGATGTTGTATGAAATATAGGCTTTACGTACAACTTAAGTACTTTGAAATGTACGAAAAAATATCGGAATATTCAGCGGGTGTTTTAGAGATATTTGTTTAAATATATTTATATTTCACCCCTATTAAAATGGGTATTTAATACAAATGAAACACTTGCAGGTGCTAATGTTTGCGGACGACGTTAAACTGTTTCGGCAGGTGAACATTATCAATGACTGTGCTCTGCTGCAAGATGATGTCTATTCAGTGCAAAGCTGGTGTATTCTTAACAATTTAGGATTGAACCCTCGCAAGACCCAAGTAATGTCTTTGTCCAGAAAATTTCCCGTACTTTCACACACGAGCAGGAACATGGCGGTGGCGAAATGCCCTGTTTAGAGTCGTCTATTCACCAATTCAGTTTCCCCACTAAATTTGGCGGGAAAGTGGCGTCATGTGACGTCATTTGACGTCACGTGACGTCAGCAGCTTAGGAAAGTTAACGGGACGTGATATACACGTGAACTGAGTTTCCCCGCTTACTAAAAAATTCACGTCTTCTGTCCAAAACATGCATTCAGCTCCTTCGCTAAATTTAGCGGGAAAATGACGTCACGTGACATATACAACAATTCAGGTACCCGCTAAATTTAGCGGGAAAATTCAAATCTTGTGGCCTAGAGATCAATCCAGTTTCCCCACCAAATTTAGCGAGGAAAATTGACGTCGCGTGATTTCTACAACCATTCAGTTTCCTTCGCGAAATGTTGCTGGAAAATATACGTCACATGAAACGTCAATTTTCTCACTAATTGCCTCGCGAATTTCCTATAATGGATTTCATGCTTTATAAGAACTGAAAGTTAAAGGTCGCTGCCATTTTTTATTTATTAACTATTAGAGTGCGTTACCACATTACGACCTCGTCAAATTGCTCCAAACTGAACCAAAACAATGCCAGAATTATTTTCAAAAGATAAATTTGATCACCTATTCAAATAATAACCTTCACACACATTTTTTTTTTAAATTCCTGCTGACTGCTAGTGCAGCGGTACTTTGCACTAGAATATGCACCTCGAGATCGAACATTTCGCCACCATGGGGCAGAAATGGGAAAAATGACCTTTTGTGGTTACCGCAACCAATGCGACGAAAAAAAAAATCTATATCTATATATATATATAAACGAATATGTGCAGATGAATGAACCGTACTTAATCCAAAGAAATAAAGAATCAAAGTTTTCAGGAACCCACCGAAAGCTAAAAAACGGCGGAGCCAGGATTTGAACTCTGGGCCTCCCAATGTCCAGTCGGGTGTGCTAACCACTACACCACTCCACCATGGCTTTCTGGCGTTTCCTACCTGTCTTATTAATGCACAAGAAACGAAATGTATCCAATCGGAGGTGTTCTGGAAACACACGCCGCCGCGTGGAACGCGGTACGACGCTTAGTGTCTCGTGGTACGTGCTCGTTTGTGCTCCAGAAATCCTCCCACTGTTTGTCTCGCCCCGTGTACACGTAGTAGTATTCTTTGTTTTATGAGCTTTTTGGCTTTCGGCGGGTTCCTGAAAGCTTTGATTCTTTATTTCATTGGATTAAGTACGGTTCATTCATCTGCACATATTCGTTTATATCCTCCTCGGAGACCACGTACGATGGTGTGAAGTGCCCGTGTATTATTATGTTCTGAATTCAGTTTCGTTTTAGAGAAACAAGCTCCATTCTGGTCCTGCTACGGAACGAAAATATTATGGCCCGTAAGGGTTCTTAATTGTTTCTGTTTGAACGTAAAAAAGAATATAAATTAAAATTGATCAAGAAAACAAATATTTTTTTTTTATAATTTAGGTAACTTCAAAGTTCTAGTAAGTACGCATTTTTTCCAATGATATAACATTGAACAATTCAGGTAAAATACGCCACGAGAAAGAACGACTCAAGGCAATGAGCGGGATCTCTGAAGCGGGGCGTCAAGTGTACACTGCAAAATCTGAAACCTCTGTTCTGATCAAATAACTTTTATCCCCAAGAATGACAGTTCCACGCTTACTTGTGCGGCTGGTACATCAAGGGAACCAAGGGCTACTTGCTTTGAAGTGTACAGTTCGTTGTGGTACTCCCTTAGTTTCTCCCAGAATATAAATGCACTCCTGGTTCTTGAACATTCGTAGACATGCTTGACTGCCCTTCAATAATGGCGACATACCGACTGCAGTTTTATACTTCGCTGCGTGTAAGAAACACTGAGATACCTGAACTTTCCATTTGAACCGAAAACCATTAAGCACATTTTTCGGTTACTCCCGAACAAAATAATACATAATGTTTCGATTCTGTTCGCGTTCCATCAAGAATATCGCGCTTTTTTTGTCTCGTTTTTTTATGTTGTTTTGTTCCGTTTCGACACTTTGCCCGCGAGGATTTCTTCTCTTAGCGCAGATAAATAAAGAGGGAATAATTTCTGTACGTGTCCTTTTTTCACGGATTCTCGGGTTTCTAAAGCGAGAGCTTTAAAGGCGACACTTCCGAGAGATTTCAAACTCGTGGGCTGTCATAGCTGTGCGCTCGAAAAAGGAAAAAAAAATGTTTCTCTCCCGGTTTGGCGCGAGGACTCCAACATACATTATGTGTGCCCGCCTCAATAGGATCACTTGAACTAAAGTCACCGATTCGCCGTCAGCTTAAGAAATTCATAGAGCAGCAAAGACCATATCACCTTATCATCGCTCCGCAGATAATGCCGTTCAGAATGCCGTTGGTCATGTAAAGTGCAACAACCTGATAACACGCTATAAGGCAACATGCTTGTTGGAGTTTATGAACATTTGTGGGTTGATATCAACTGAACACAACTGAGAAAACCACTGGAAATACCCTTGATCTTGTTTTATCTAACGTGTATGTTGATTATGTAACTCCTTCTTTAAGTCCAGTGGTACAAATGAATCTGTTTCACACACCTTTCACACTTGGCCTGTTTCTTCCTCGTAAGAAGCCAATTTCAAATCCCTACACTACGTACTGCTATCATAAAGGTGATTACCTAAACATGTACAGATACTTCCAAAACTTTGACTGGAGTGAACTTCTTGTCATAAATGATGTTGAGCTGGTGACCGAGACGTTTCCGTCCATAGTTAAAAACGCAATTGATGCATTTGTACCACGGCGCATTTTGAAGCCTTCAATTCACCCTGAATGGTTCTCTAAAGAGTTGAAAATCTGCCTTTGCAAAAAAGAGCATTTTCATAGACTCTTCAAACGTACTTGTTTGTCTCTATTTTATACTGAGTTTAGCATTTACAGGGCTCTAGTTAAAAAGCTGTACGCTAGGGACAAACGCTTGCACCTTGAACAAGTGGAGTGCAGCCTAAACCGGTGCCCTAAAACCTTTTGGCGCTATGCCAAGAAACACACGCGCAACTTAAACCAAAGTCTTTGTCTGCGCACAGATAACAACGCTAACTCTATATCTTCACCTACAGAACTTGCCAATATTTTTGCTGATTACTTCAGCAGTTTTTATTCAACCTGTCAGCAAAGCACTCAGCCGCAAGAAATAAAAACCAACGGCCATGATTTCTTGTCTGGTATTAGAGTAGATGCCGTTGAAATTGCGCAAGCAATAAAAAAAATTAAAACCGAAGTTATCTATAGGAGCTGACTCTATTCCATCCTTTATTATTAAGGGATGTAGCGAATTATTTATACCTATTTTGTTGCACATCTTCAACCTCTCTCTTATTTCTGGTGTTTTTCCCTCCCTTTAGAAAAAAAGCGGTTGTTGTACCAGTTTTGAAAGAAAAGGTGACAGCTCTGTGAAAAGCAACTATCGCCCAATATCTTTGCTATCTTGATTTTCTAAAGTTTTTGAACGGGTTACGTATTCCCGGATTCTTTTTTTATTTTCGGCATACGTTTGTAGAGTGTCAGCATGGTTTTTTGAAGAGTCGTTCGGTCGAAACAAATCTTTGCTATTTTTTAAATTACTCTGCCCCTGTTGTTACAAACAGAGGACAAGTTGATTGTATCTTTTTTGACATGTCTAAGACCTTCGATAAAGTAAACCATGAATTGCTGTTACACAAATTATCGTCATATGGTTGTTGCCCAGACCTATGTAACTGGTTCTGTAGTTATTTATCATCTCGACGGGACACAGTTCGTGTAGATAACAGTCATTCCGATCACTTCTTTTCCACATCTGGTGTCCCTCAAGGCTCCATCCATGGCCCGTTGTTGTTTTTAATACTCATCAACGACTTGCCGTCATATGTTGATAACGCTCAAATTTTATTGTTTGCCGATGACATCAAGCTTTTTATGAATATTCACTCTTCTATCGACTGCAACGCTGTACAGCATGATGTTTCACAGATTGCTATTTGGTGTACAGCGAATAAGTTATCTCTGAATCCATTGAAAACAAAAGTCGTATCGTTCTCAAGGCGTCACACCATAATAGACTGCGATTATGTTTTAGAGGGGATGCCTATCATACGTCTTTCTGTTATAAACAACCTTGGCGTATACCTTGATAATGTTCTAACGTTTACTGCCCATGTGTCACTTGTCGTTGGCAGTGCAACAAGAATGCTTGGTGTTATATCTCGTATTACAAAGCACTTTAAAAACCTGGCTTCTTTGGTTCGGTTATTTTGTGCCCTAGTCAGGTCTAGACTTGAATTTGCTTCAGTAGTTTGGAATGCGTTAAATAAAACTCACGCATTGAACATTGAAAATGTAAAGAAGAGGTTATCAAATACATCGTCACAGAAAACGTGGAGCCGGCGGGTGTGCTGCGCCTGCGCAGTGGGGGAGCATGATGTTCCCGCCGGAACGCCGTGTAAAAAAGGAAGGCGTGGCGCGCTGCTTGGAGGAGCGCGCTGCGTGTAGGAATGCTTTTAAATTCCTACACGTAAAGAGGCTTAGGTATCCTCTTTTAAATTTTTTCCTCTCTCTTTCTTTCGCTTTTGTCTCTTCATTGCTTGACGATCGTTTGTTTGAGCCTAAATGGTCCAAGAGTATACACCTTTGCTGCGCGACCTAATAGCGCTGATCTTAAGAGATTAGCTGTAAACAAATATGTTTTCAACTTAGATATTGACGACTTTCACCACATTTCGATACTGATGCAAGAATATTACCTGCTACAACAGCAAGAGCCGTGAATGCTTGAATCTTCATTGTGGCTTGTGAACCTCCTGGTGGAACATGCACAAATCATGTTTTTGCTCATTATTTTTTAAGTCCACAAAATTAACATAACGGTTCAATACAAACTGCCGGCACCCTAAACATATGGATTGCCCTATCTCGCGAATATGTCTCGCGCTGGCCATCATCAGGTTATAGAATATGTTTGACCTTTATATGCCTCACGCTGTCAACCATAATGAATTCGGGCCATGATTTCAAAATCTAACATTTAAGTAGATCACCTACTTTCCATAGAACTTTCCTCAGACGCCCCAAAATTTCAGGTCAAAAAATAAATAATTTAGATTATCGAAACATCACCCAACGTTATTAATATTGGCGTAATGCAGAATTCTAATTATGATGCGTACACCTTTTTCATTTTCCAGCAATATGATTTAATTATAATTCTTCGTCTAATTTTAGGGTTGCAGTATATGCATTTGTCTGAAAAATCCGGCTTCTGATTCTCACTAGTATATCCGTCCCTAAAATCAGGACCAAACATGGGCATCCACACATCTGCGTATCAAATACTCAACCTTCTAATACTCGAAACCACCTTCAAGCTCTTGCGAATTTAGAGATGTAAAGGTTCAGGAAATATTAAAGAGACCAAAAAGGTTTTTGTTAGACGTTTAGAAACACTAATGTATACGAAAGTATACATCTGCTAGATTACTCGATGTACACATAGAGAAAGATTTGAACCAATCAGTGTCACTGAACTTTGTGTCTTTATTTTCCTTTACACGTTGATTGAAATTTTTGTACGCTTCTTGATCAGTCTCTTAAGTTGAAGTTTCTGCAAAAGTGCAGCTTCCAGCCAGTCTTTCGGTATACAACAGATGACAGACGAGGGGACATTTTGTCCTGTAGTTTCCTTCAGCAAGAAATTGCAGAAACTTTCCTACGCTGAGACAACTCACGTTGTCTCAGTCCTTAAACAAAACAAACTCTGTTAAGGATTAAAAAAAAATTACTTCTCAGACAGCACCAGCCTTGCTTTAGGTTTATCAAAGTAGATTTTACCTATTATACGTTTGGAAATATTTCAGTCCAATAATGTGTGTACAATCTTTGATTTTAATCATAGATTAAATGTATATATCCATATTTCGTGTGTATATGAAAATGTATATAAATACATGATACTGCAATTAACGCAAAGGTGCAAGTCGCGCACCAGTCACCTAGCTGTGTTTGGCAATTAGTGTTGGAACTTTTTCTCCAGGAATCACCATTGTTATTCAATGAGAGACGATTTATATGCGACGTAGTAATGCTGACCGATTCCACTACCTATTTATGACCTAAAGTCACTGGATTCTTGGAGACTAGAGCCAAGCTCCCCGTATGGTCACCGCTTCGGTTCATGAAATAAGCAGTTATTCCTAGACATCTCCATTCCTGGTGAGCCAAACTTAATTCGCTGGTGACGGGTAGCCTTATAGAGGCGTTTCTTGAATACCCAGATTTTGCTATCCACGCACCGGCGAAAGGAGCGTAGATTTTCGTACCGCCACTACATGCGGCGTCGGCCCTTTGAAGATATGATATCCATGGCTCGTGCGACACTTGGGAGCGAATGGCGGCGCTGCACTTAAATGAGTGGATATAGAACAACCTCTGAAAGCAAATTGTGATGCGGCACTCGCTCGTGGTTTCGTAGTACGTGACTTGCGCTTTCGGCAACAGTGTGTTGCGATGTGTAAAAAACGCCAAGTGTTAATTTCATATCCAGGCATTTTAGCTCACAGCGTGGTTTGGCTTCGCTGGGTTGTATCGCCCGCTTGACATCTCAGTCATTTTCTGGCCCATCTTATGCTTGCAAAAAAACATGCGTGTGGTATATCTGACCGTGACTACTCAGGCCATGTACGCGCCTTTTCTCATGTGCATAGGCATAGCCATCATTAAGCCTATACTATAGGAGGCTATTCATCAACTCGCGCGTTCATGCGCATGTCCCCGAGTTGTCGTGTCACGTTCTGGAATCAAACACTATACATCTGGTATATGTAAATTAATAAAAACATTTTTTTTATAATTTCAAGGCCCGGATTATTTACAGAGGTAATGGGGAGGGGAGATAACAAAACAAACTGGTGGTATATAAACAAGTCTAGTACAAAAATGCAGTGAAAACATGAGCGGTCAAGAAATAGCAAAAATGATTCTTTATCCCAATTACAAACTAATGGACTGATGGTATAAAGATATTAGAGATACGGGAAGGTAGTTCCACTCCGATGACGTTTGTGGAATAATTCAGTCGATGTATGCCTTGCTGTGACCACTGACCTATAATGGTCTGGATGGCGCATACGTACTCTCCGAACCTAGCGGAAGTGAAGCCACCGTAAGCTTGACGCCTGTGTCAGAAATCGGGCGTTTGTGTGACTTACTAGTCCATTTAATGGATGATTTGGTTTCTTTGAGTTCGTTTAAAGAAGCCCGTTTTGAATCACATTCCCAGAACAAGTCATTTGAACCGGCGACAAATGCCCATTTGGGACTCTAACTCGCCGACACAGAAAGTTGGAGACGAAATTTCGCGGAGTGCACCGATTGGGCGTTCGCGAAAAGGGCACGAAGTCATCGTTGTGATAGGCCAATCGGAGCGCTCAGTCAACTTCAGCACAAACTTCGGAGGCCTGGATTATCTGGAATCTCAAAATGTTCACATCGAATGGCTTCCCAGAAAACTTCTCCTGTCTGCATGCTCTGTTACTGCTCATAAAGCAGCCTCTCTTGAGATGAAAGAAAACATCCAGCGCCCTGGACGTTATGCGAACCCGCATGCAATATGGAAGGCATGTGAAGCGCTCACTTCGGTGGAGACCGATTACCTCTGGTGAATCCGTACCTGTTTGCTTAATGCGCCATCCAGCCCTGCGAGTGGAGATCAGGGGGCGCGAGAGGGGTTATGTCCGACTCTGAATTAACGGTGAATGCGAGGGAAATATTTGAAGAAAGGGGGAGCTTATCTTTAAGAGCAAGCTCAGCGTGTGTAATACATTTGCTGAAAAAAAAAGAAAAACCGAGATATTTTGCGACGCACCAAACAAGAAGACGAGATAGGCTTGACTAGAATGGACATGACCCTGGCGCTACGATGATAGATTCGCGCACCGGGAATTTAGAGAGCCTCGAGGTTCGACACCAGCATACGTGTGACAGGGATCCCGGATTGATGCAGCCTATTCCAATTTAGTACGTACTTGGGTCTTAAATAAAAATACTCCCAGGACGGGAGGGCTAATGTGAAATATATTTTCAAGTCTTCGAGCTTAGAGCTGCGGTAACAAATGTATATACAATGTGAGTTCGCCATGACATGTTGAAGCTGAGGGGGGCAGCGAACTATTTGTAGTAAGTCTTGGACTGCAAGGATAACATAACTGAGAGAGGGTGAGGGGTTCTGAGGTAACTTATTGATGTAAATAAGGAATAGAAATGCGCGTTCTTGGACACCTGAGGTGACGGGACAGATGGAAAGCCGGATATGTTTGATCAGAACAGTTGTCTCTGGTGCGTCTACAGTATTGCAAAACAGATAAGATAACCAATGGCTGCCACCTAAGAAGATAACTCGGTGAATGACGTGCATACAATTTGCCTAGACCTCAAAAACAGAATGGGCTGTGACACGAATCCTGACGGAAGTCTGTGACATGTCGTGCTCAGTGCTGAAGTGAACTGTTACTTTATGTGTAAACATCCGCTCAGTACAATTGTACAAGCAGAATTCGGAATCAAATAGCGCAAAAGCGATCTTAACTTTTACTGTGCAAGAGCAGTCACTACATGTCGATTCTCGTTACAGTGCTAAATCTATAACGCCCACTACGCTCTTCAATTCCAGCTATTCGAGCATAACTTATTGTCTGCCTCGTCAATCGTTGAGCTTTCTCTGTAGATTGCAGCTGTTCCCCAGAGTGCACCGGTATAAAGACTTTGACACGGCGTTCGAAACTCCCCATCGTAATTTTATCTTTCGCGATTATTCTAGAACGTTCCAGTGGAATTGTATAAAGTATCGCTTATTCCTCTGCTGCACGCTCTAGACTCTGCAGTGTGTATAAAGGAAGCTGAGACTGGCAACACGAAAGCAGCGACAGCTGTGACGCAGAACACTCGATACATTTCGTTTTAGTTTGAAGGCACAGGTTCGCCTCAGTAAACGTGCATTTTGTTTTCACCTCAATCTGTTTCTGTCCGTGAGGATACATGACTGTGAAAATAACCTCTTCGCTTAGAAAAGGCAGAGCCGTTTTTTTTTTCAACATATATTTCTTGGTTTTTCAAGATGACAGCGCTTATGCTGGCATGAAAACATGTCTAAGAAAGCTTGTTGAGTTTTTAGTTTTTTTCATTTTTATTTTTAACGTATTTAGTACTTCTGACCATACTATTCCAATCTAATATCTCCAACTTTTGGTAAGATATGATGTCTTCAGCTGATTAGTAGTATTCATTTCATAGGGTTTTCTACTACAACGGTTTCTTATATATGCGGTGATTGATAGGACTTTAACGGCTCTGGATAAACTCAGAAAGTTGTGTACAACTAAAAAGTCTTACAACCTGCGTTCCACAGAACCACATTGTACCAACGTGTACGCAAACGATTCTGTTTATCAGTACAAACTACGCTCTATAGAGTACGTGTTATAGAGCGTACGCCATGTATAATAACAATCCTATTTCTTACTCATGATTATAACAAAACTTGTGCCAATTGATACATTGGCAGGTTGACTTTTTCAAAATTCCCCTTATAATTCCGCTTGAACAAACATGTCAGAGCGCATATAAGTTTCTCACTCATAAACGCGAAGCATATTAATAGTGTTTATATTATAATGAAGAGCTAAGAGGATGAAATTAAATATTTCGTCCTGCTTAGTTGCATACTTCTGCAACTTTGGTTTTATAAAAAAAGAATATCAAATGTTTTGTCAAGAGGTTAAAAAAACTAATGGGCCAAAAAAAACTAGATTTTAGCGACACTATAAAGATTAGTGATTCAGTGCTACAGTTTATTCGTGAAGTCAAGTTTGGAAATCAGATATTTTAAAGGAAAACTAAAATCTATCAACATACAAAACACATAAATTCGCGTCCACGCCTAATAAGAGCCCCCGAACAGAAGTTATTCTCCAATATGATTAGTTCCCGCTGAAACAAATGATGGTGAAAGTGTTTCGTGTACAATTATGTGCAATCGGCACAGCGGGGCTCGGGCAACATTACAATGCAACGGAAGTATTCTATGTTTTTTTTTCTTTAAATATAGTCAATATCTACTTTACTTCAATTAGTTTGTAAAAGGGATAACCAATGTCTAGATATTTAATAGAAATTGTCAACGTCAGTAACTTACCATAGACCAAAGGCATCGTACCGCTGTTTCTGTTGAAAACCAGAGGCCGCAGCGTCTGTTGAAAACGTCTTCCAGACCAATATATAACAAAAATGCCGCTGTTATGCGATGTGAACGCACATGCTGTGAATATTTTTATTTATGTTTTTTTTCTTTTTTTAGGAGACAAACAGCTTTGTTGTATTTGTGATTGGCAGTCAATACACTCAAAGAGCAAAGATATCGTCGCGAAGATTGTGTTCAAAAGTTCAAAGCGTTATTCAGAGAATATATATATATATAATTTTGCCTAATTAACTTTTTTAATATAGGGTTTAAGGGCATGATTATAATTAGAAAGTTTCTCAGCGTCATCGAAAAACCCTAAATCAATAAATTGCAGAATGATAGAAGGCGCGCCAAGCATTTTACGGCTTTCTGAAAAACCGCACAAGTTCGACGGGTTTTTAAGTTTCAGTTTTCTATCAGAGCGCATCTCGGCCCCTTCGGCACCGCGCCCCGTTGAGAAATATTGCAACCAGCTTCTGCTGCGCTGTCATCGCGTGACGCAGCAGAGGCTGGTTGCACTATCTCTCCACGGGGCGCGGTCCCGCCGGGCCAAGATGCGCTCTGATAGAAAACTGAAACTTAAAAACCCGTCGAACTTGTGCGGTTTTTCAGAAAGACGTAAAATGCTTGGCGTGCTTTCTATCGTTCTGCAATTAGTTGATTTAGGGTCTTTTGATGATGCTGAGCAATTTTCTAATGAAACCATGCCCTTAAACCCAATATCAAAAAGTTAATTGCGCTAAAATATTTAACAATCTAATTATTCAGGACTTTTATAATTTTCCTAAATAGGCTCCTGGCCCAGGACCAAGACGACGCAACCCTTTTTTGCTGGGAGGCGTAGTTTTCGCAATATCTAATTTGTACACCTCGCGTGAAACACAAAGTATAAATATATATATAACGGTCATCGGTGGCGGGAGGCCGAAGGCGTGGGCATACAACTGCGAAGAAAAAAAACCTTGATCAAAACAGCAACAACGGACGATGTGCTCTTCGACGTTTCGGCCGGAGTCCGGCCTTCCTGACGAAGGCCGGACTCCGGCCGAAACGTCGAAGAATAAATCGTCCGTTGTTGCTAACTTCATCAAGAATTTTTCTTCTCAGTAGAATGCAACTCTTTTATTGCTTTAGACGCAAATGCTGAAGACAATCATCTTTATCTTTCTTATAGGAGGCAGGCATCTTACTTTTATTTATGATTGGCAGACAATTAACAACAATAAAGTTGAAAGCTAAACTAGTCGGTAGCCGTTACACATGATGAAGAAAAACAGTGCAAAAGAAAATAACAAAAGAATAACATACACAGCAGGACCAACGCTTGTCCTGTCGTGTGCGTTTTTCTTTTCTCTATGTCTTTCGCACTGCGTCTCTTCACCATGTATAGACAAATAACACTAACATATTATGGCAGACTCATTCTGATTATGTAACTGCTAACCCCAACTCAATCCTGACATACTTAAAACTAAATTTTATATGAGCCCCTTTGTCTTTTAAATGTCTTTTATTTAAGACCCTTGTACGTTCTAAATTGGAGCAAGCTGCTTCTATGAAATCCCGGTGACCAGAGGCTAGTGTGTAACCTTGAGGCTGTTCGAAACGTGGTGCTTGTATTATCTGTCTCATCTATCATCATAGAGCGTGTCTTGTCCGTGGAAGCTAACCAATATCTTTGTTTCCTTGTTTGAATCCCAAAATAATCTTGTTTGTGTTTTTTTCAGAATATTAATTCCTCCAACCCTTATTTAAAAGAAAAGCTTCGCCTACTTCCTGCGTATAATTCCTCCCGCGCTGACTATCAAAAGTCAGGATTCATCCCTTTATTTATCCCTTCATTCATCCCTTGTTTTCTTCAGTCCCAAAGTATCAATTAAATGAAACCGCCTGCCCGGATCTTTAATTTCCATACCATCAAACGAATCATTTAGAATTGCGAAAATCCGTCATTATTGTTAATCCTTGACCGCTCACGTTTTTAAAGCACTTTTGTACTAGAATAGTTTATATCCTATTTGTTTGTTTTGCCCCCCCCCCCCTTCCCAACTATGCAATTGTCCGTTCCATGAGGGTATTGAAATAAAATAAAATAAATAATTATTCTTGAAAGCATCTACCACCTGAAAACACCTCCAACCGTGTTTTAACGTTGAATTTTTGGATCAGATGCGATTGTTAGGAAATTGACGAACTCAAAGATAATGCTTATTAGGAGTTACTGAAAGAAGCATATATAAATATAACAGTAATAATGAATAAGTAAAGAGTGTAGTACGGTATTACGACAAATGAGTAAAAGTAAACATTGTAAATAAATAGTGTGTTAGCACTGCTCTCAAATGTTTTATATACCAAAGCATGGTGAAGGCAGCTTCTCAGCAATTTTCTGCCGAGCAAACATTATCGAAATTTCTCTTCTCCCTGGTGCACGCAAAAAAGGTCACTTGGCAAGTGCTTGAAGGACGTGCGCTCGATCCGCGGAAACGGACAGAATGATTTCGTTGTGCGTGATTATTCACCGCGAACCTGCGTATAATCCTGAGGCCCATAGCTCGTGCACTCGAGCGCCCTGGGCAACGTGACGTACGCGACATATGCCCCCGTATCAATGAAAATTACGTGGAGACTGAAAATTAAACCTCTGCTCCCGACCGCCGGCGGTTTCATGCAAATGTCGTCGTCGGTCCACTTGATCCTTACGTTGCCGCGCATGTTGTGTATACAGTGTCGACGGCGCCTTGCGCTTGCGGCCCGGTGACATAGTGAGGGGACTGAGCGTCAAGAACGGCGTGCCAGGCGCGGGAGTTCGAAGAACGGAACAGCACACCGTGTGCGTCCGCAGGTCTCCAAAGCTGGAGGTAGGAGTTTCTGAAAGCGGCAAAGTGCACACACAGCGCACCTGCACCCTGCCCGCCATTTGTCGGCGCTTGCAGAAGATGTTTCATAGTCCGCTTCCACAGCCAGTGAGGCTGTTGCGCCATACCGTGGCGACGTTGCGAACTTCGGTTAGTCCGAACCAGTTCAAGGTTGGCGCATGTGCCAAGGCACTAATGCTAGCGCAATAAAGACTCGTCTTAAAAACCAAGGAATAGTAGAAAAGCGTGCAGTTCGTTTTAATACAATAGGTATAAACCGGCGTAAAGAGCAGAGCTATACTATTAAAACAAATTGACTTGGGGCCGTAAAAAGGGTTCGATGGGAGGCTTTGCCGTCTGAGCAAGACTAAAAATTATTTTTTTAATGTGGAATTTTGTTTTTGCTTATTTGATATTCCTCATTTTGGGGGCTGCGATTGAATATACTTTTGGGATGGTACACATCACGACACTGTTAGTGCGAACACAACATCGGCGCATTTTCTCATTTTACTTCTAAATAGTATTAGCGAGCATGACATTTTATCGCTTAGACTATAGAACTAAATAAGCTCTTTTCGTAGCAATGAGAACTTGGATCACATCCCTTGGGTTCAAAGAGAAAACCTGGAAAAACCGGCAATCGCTTGTTCGCGCTAACAGTGCCGCGCTCTGTACATGTATGGTATTTTCTAAAGGACCACTATAAGCAAACACTTATATTTGCGCTACCGCATGACGCGTGCCATAGCGACAGCAGCTCAGCTTACGCGTAATGCGCCGTTATTGTGGTGCCGTTGACGTTTCTGCGCCTCCTCCTGATCTCGACCCAGGATTTTCACGCTATGTTCTCTTGCGCTCTCAATTCCCCACTGGTGCCTGATCCATCCTCTCTCGCCCTCGGCTGGGGAGGGACTGTTATCATCACATCTCTTCTTATTATACTGAACGCCATTAGCTACTACCTGCATCACTCGTGGGAGGGTATCTGCACCCACCTCCGCGTCTTCGACTTAGAAATTGCCAGGAATAAAAGGCACATTTTGACAAGGGCACCTCGGATCTCTGGCTGATTATGATAATTTTACAAAATGATGCAGTCCTGAAATACGGGCGCTGTAAGTTTTCTAATATGAACACATACCTTAATTCCAGTAATTGTTAGTTTCAAAATTAATTTTACTGAATTAGGAAACTGACGACTGCGATTATCCTTGGAATCAGTGTTCTCCTGCAACCATAACGTAGGTGTGAAATTTGATTTCGCGTAGTTCTTATATTGTTGTCTTAATTTTTGAAGCTAAAGTTTGAAAACCCAGCATATGTTGTGGATTCCATGGTGACCTCTATGTTTCAGTTCGGCCACATTGTCCAACGCCCGGCGCGGCAGGACATGTTTTAACCATGCGGTGGCTATAAGCGCCATGCCACGTGCCCATCCTCCACGTCAGCTTCAATAAAACTAAATTTAAATTCTTTTTTTCTTTCGCGCACTTTCCAACAACACGAATGCGTTTACGGTAAAAAAAAAATGAGATATACCTTCATTACGAATATACATGCTTAAAATTCATACACTCGTTTAGAACCATACATATGTTAGGAATTCATACACATGCCAACAAATATGGGCAAATCTGTACAAAACTAGCGATGTAAGAAAACGTCGCATCTCAAACATGTTGGATTCGTGGTGTCAGTGACAAATGCTGGAGAATATATAGTACAGTATTCCACGATTTCTGAAGCGTGTGCTAAATAGAATACGGAATTGCAAAACATCGACAGAGTGGGATAGTCAATTGATCTATAACTAACCTATGCAAAAATCTAACATACCGGATAGATCTCATGTTGTTAAAGTGCCTGATTTTTGCCTAGCTAAAAACAAATTAGACACAAAGAGGTAATTGAGACAAAAATATATATCGTGGATTATCCCTATAATTTTTGGTTAAACATCCCGTCAATATTTTCATTTGCTGTACTAGAAATAGACTTCCAAAAGTCAGATGCAAATTCAAAGTTAGAGCGGACATGGGTACTGAAAAGTCTAGACAGTGCTCACTGGTAAAATGGTCTAGTTAAACGAGCCATTGTCCCCAGCGTT